GTTTTTTTTTTTTTTTGAGACAGAGCCTCAAGCTGTTGCCCTGGGTAGAGTGTCATGGCATCACAGCTCATAGCAACCTGCAACTCTTGGGCTCAAGGGATCCTCCTGCCTCAGTTTTTCTACTTTTTTCTTTTTTAGCAGAGACAGGGTCTTGCTTTTTGCTTAGGCTGGTCTTGAACTCATGAGCTTGAGCTATCCACCCACCCTAGCCTCCCAGAGTGCTAGGATTACAGGCATGAGCCACTACACCTGGCAATTTTTCAAGTTCTTAAAGTTTTAAAAGATTTATTATGCTTAATTACGGTTGGATAGCATTTCTTTCTCCTTAACTTAATTAAGGCTAAAATTTAAGAAGAAAACATTAGTCATAAAGTAAAAAGATAAATAAAAATCAGAAATAAAAACTGTGTAAGTAAAACAGATAAATGTATTTAAAGAACATAAATGTCTTATCCTAAAATAGCTATAGTCTATTTTTTCCCTCATGTTACCTCCACTAAACTGGAAGACATTTTGTCTACGATACAGCATGCTGGTCCAGGCAGTGAAAGTCAAATAAAAAGAAAACAAGTAGGAGGTAAAAAACTCAAGGGGTAAATAAAGTGGAACTCACCTATTACTCTTTTCTTTTTTTTCGGCAATAGTGTCTCACTCTGTTACCCTAGGGTAGACTGCCAAGGCATCATAGCTCACAGTAACCTCAAATTCTTAGGTTCAAGCAATTATCTTGCCTCAGCCTCTGGAGTAGGCGGGACTATAGGTACCCACCACAATGCCCAGCTACTTTTAGAGACCGGGTCTTGCTCTTGTTCAGGCTGGTCTCAAACTCCTGAGCTCAGGCAATCGACCTACCTTGGCCTTCCAGAGTGCTAGGATTATAGGCATGAGACTATGCCTGGCCCTTCCCCTATCACTCTTCTCTCCAACTTAGAATAATTTCTTAGTGGCCTTATTATTTTTTATAAGGGAATGATTCTCTTTAAAAACATCATTTTCAAAGTTAAATCTGCAGCTGTGAAATAACAGATGTATAGTGCTCTGCCAGTGTCAAAATATTACTACTTTTGGCTTGGTGCCTGTGGCCTAGAGTGCCAGGCACATGCATTAGAACTGGCAGGTTCAAATCCGGCCCAGGCCTGCCAAACAACAGTGACAACTGCAACTAAAAAATAGCCAGGCGTTGTGGCAAGTGCCTGTAGTCCCAGCTACTTGGGAGGCTGAGGCAAGAGAATTGCTTGAGCCCAAGAGTTTGAGGTTGCTGTGATGCCATGGCACTCTACCCAGGGCCACATAGTCAGACTCTATCTAAAAAAAAAAAGGAAAATAACTACTTTGTTTTTTATGAGTAAGGGGGGGGTCTTGCTGTATTGCTCAGGCTGGAGTGATCACAGGTCACTGCAACCTTGAACTACGGGCCTTAAGAGATTCTTCTGCCTCAGCATACCAATCACTGGGATTGCAGGTCTAAGCTATTGTGATAGGCCAAAATATTCTTTCTTTTTTTTTTTT